TCGAACATCAGAGTAAGCTGATGGAACATAGAGCACAAGTCCAAGGAGATCGGTTTTGTGATAAATTTGTTCAATACAAAATGTATGCGCAGTCAGTTTTGCAGAAGCGCGGATAAGGATCGAAGGACATTAGCTCAGTTTTGCAGAGGGCAAAGCCGGCAAACTCAGCAGACGCAGAAGAGCAGCATGTCCGCTTTTGAAAGAACTTCAACAGCGTGTTTCATTTGACCATGATATACGTGCCGTTATATGGCGCAAAATGTTGGTCGACCCCTAACCGGGGAGGTCCGCCAACATACCATGGAACTTTGAATAGACCTAGCTAGATCGAAAGGGTAGATAAAGGGCAAAGCCTTCGTTGTTGGTGGCCAGCTGATGTGCAAGTCTGTATTTCCTACGAGACGTATATTATACCAAATTACCGCCATCGAAGAGCAGAAGGCTTGGTTAGCCTAAGCGGAGACGGCCCGGAATTGGACTTCCGAACCGTGGCCCAAAAAGCGCATAAATTGAACACCTTTTCGGATATTTGGCACATTTTGTAGTCGCTAGCGACAACGTTCGCGAAAAGTTGGTAGAGAACAAACAAAAATACGCGAAAATGTGCACCCTGTTCATTGGTGTTCTTATACTCCAGGAAACAAATGAACCGATTCGAGAGTAAGTTCGATAATAAATACAAACTCAGTTGAATATAAATGAATATAACTTTATATAAATCACCGTGACACAATGGAAAAAGGAACGTACCTGTTCTGTTACGTTGCCGTGTACAAAAAATTCTACAAAGAAAACGCCTAAGCATATCTTTCCCGAATGCCTCGACTTCGTGTAGCTTGAGATCTAAAATCAGTCAAACCATATCATTGACTTCGTCTAACAATTTCCGAAATTTCAATGAAATATGCTTTCCTTCGCATACGGCGAGCAGCTGCTTGTTGGTCCAGCACCGATCTTTTAGTAGCTGCAGAATATAGTAATCTGATAGCGAAATAGGCTCCGCGAGCGCAGAGTTCTTAAGCCAACGCTTTACTTCGTCAAATAAGGCATCGAAACGGAGAGGATCTGTAAGCGAGGGTCTGGGAGTGCATCCATTTATTAACACCTTTTTGGCAGATTATAAGCATTGGCAAGTAATAATCGATCTTGTCAAATAAGGGGTTTCCAAGTAACTTACCCGGTTTGAAGCCAATCATTCGCTTGATAACATGCTCAACAAGTTGCGGTTGTTTTTCGTCGTAACCACCCACCTTAATGGTATATTTACAATCATTGTTCGTGGAAAGGGGAGGGCATGGACTGGGAGGGAGGGGTAGGAGGAGGGGGAATTGTGGTAGCCTTTTCCACCAATTGTTGCTGGCTCAGGATGGCGTCAATGGTGGGAAAGACCCCACCCCCCCCTCCATGCCCCTCTTTTCCATGAATAATAAGTAACTCTCAGCTGAGCTCCAGTGCACGCCCCCTCGTTTGCAGGGATAATGACCGCAAGCTTTGCAAGGTGGTTGTGTGCATTGTTTTCATGCTCTCTGCTATATTTTCATGCTTTCTGGCAATGGTCAATATAGTAATGTAAGAGCACTGAGTCCCTCCAAGCGCCCGCATAAGCAGGAACAAAGCCGTATAAGGTTGGTAGGAAAATGTTTGTCGTCTATATTGCAAAAGTAGAAAACAAGTGAAAGGCACTTTTACTACAGGAAGAGAAACACCTTGGATTGTTGTTCACGGTATCGGCCACCCCTTTTCAGATTAAGGACAAGTTCTTCAAGTACAGAAAATATGCCACAGCTTTCCTTTCGATGTAATAACTACTACTCACTTCCAGTAGAAGCCCGAAATCTTCGTCACTTATGTTGCAGTAGACACCAGCCAGATCCGCATTCGAAATATCTTCCATCAAAGCGTCCTGAAATGTCAAATCATTTGTCAGGATTAGAAAAACCGTGGAGAAACTCACTTGCAAACACGCTAAGAACATTTTAAAGAGCATTAGTGCTTTTGGGGACTTTGACACCACTGGAGAGATGAGTGCGACCTGCAACGGAACGCGTTATGAAGGTCATTTAGATTGGGATGATGATGAATTCTCACCCTAGTCACAGCTACCGGGCGTTTATACTCGTCGTCTTGCTTGAACCAAATTCGACACCATGCATCGTCTTGTATGACGCGAGGATGGTCCCTATCATTAGCATTTCTCTTCAATAATGTTTATTTCTCTCCAATGGCTCATTCCACGCAGACAGTTGGAACGAAGCTCCTGCGCGGAATTGCTTCCTATTCAGTGGTGCGCCACACAATTTAAGATAGTAAAAGCACGGACGCACCAATGAGAAAACCACAATGGTACGCCCGATTCCGCCCTCACTATAGGTGCGAAATATACCTCTGAATCTCTTTTCTAGCCGGTATATGAGCCGATAACATGTCGGCTCATTTACCTGGTTTCAGATCGCCAGCCCATCTGCCACCAATTGTTCCGCCTGTTGTGGAAAACGGGCTTGCGCTTCGCCAAGCAACCAGTAACCCTGACGCACCCCTGTCTGCAGAGTAAAGACTGCAGCTGTGGAAACAGAAAAAAAGGTCGTGATAAATGCTCACCGTTTAGTTGTTTCTCGTGGTTTGAGATCGAATTTTGTAGCAATGTAGTCGTTCTTCAGCGGTAGCCGCAGAGCAGGATTCTCCGTTTCCAGAGCGGTTTCGAACTGCTTCATTGTTTCCTTCAATACCATCCTTGAGTTCCAGCACAGCTCTTAGTTTCAACACCAATGTCCGCATTTGAAACTATAAGCGTTATGCGCGCCGGCCGGGGCCACCAGTTGGTGTTTCCACCAGAAAAAACAAGCTTTTTCTCGAAAGCATATGCACAGCGATGATGGAGTCCCAGATTGCGCAGTGCTGCGTACTACGAGGACGAGTACGCGGAAGTCAACACTGACTTGGAAGACTGGTTTTATTTCAACACTCACTAACCTCCAAAGCGGTCTTTCCCATGTGGGAGGTAAATGAATCAGCAACTGCACTGGCATGACTTTCTCTTCACTCAACAGGTGCACGAGAATGAAGCTCGGAGGGTACGTGATACGTGAGTGCCGTCTCCATACTCCGCCCACCACCTCCTCATTGCGTAGCTCTTGCCTCGATACCAAGATCCTGCAGGGATACGCACCCAGTAATAGAGAACAACCCTAATGGTCAAAGCGGCAGACAATCAGCGCGTTTGCGCTACGCGTTTGGGCGTTGATGGCTGGAAATGCCTCGGTATTACTACCTCAGTCGTTCGCATGCATTTTTGTCTAGAGAAAGTGGCACAGTATTGTACTGTGAAACATTCGCCTCACATATGAAAATAACGAAGATCCACTGAATAGCAGGTCGCTCTCGGTCAGTGGCAGTTTGTTTTGAACTCAACAAGCCAGTGTCTAGATAGAGTTCGCTGAATACAGAAGGAGGAGAACACACTGAGAGGAGATGGTCATCAGGATGGATTTACAATCCACGATAGCTGAACAAATCAGATCAATTATGCATCCAGAGCCTCCCTTTATTCTACCAGGTGCCGGGCTTTTGTTGCTTATCCCGGAGCCGACAAGCATAAAAACGCTTTCAGACTTCGCGATCGCGCGATCCGGATCGCGCGATCGCGAAGTCTGAACGCGCTCTAAGGGCGTTTTCAAGCAACTTAAACTGTTCATATTACCTTAGTACCGTTCTATAGAAATCGCTACAGTGTCGACACAGTCGATAGTCCTTCACACTTGTATGAATCCCTTCTTACAGAATACAGGACAGCAGGCCGGCTTCCTCCCGCTGCGTTTGTTTACCAACTTCAGACTTCGTGAATGTACGCTCTTTCACGAAAAACTCACCCCCTCTATATTTACGATTCGCATTTCTGTCCCAAAAATCGGCTCGTGAATATTGCCCTCCTGACCACTGTACTGCCTGGCAACTACAATGTAGAACATGTTCTTCGGAGACAACATCTCGATGATTTCCATAATTCTATCTGGAATCCGTTGTCGTTGGAAGCAATGGTCCATGCTGACTGTGTGGGCGGAGTCAGACGTGAAATGGGGCCCTTCTGATTGGTGCACCGCTCCTTGTAAATTATAAGGGTGAAGGCAGCCAATGAGGCAGGAGAGTGGTAGGTATGACTCCACGCCCACAACCAGCGTGAACAGTCTCCTCAGTATGTACGTTCAATTCATAGCATTAAGAACGTGCACGATTCGCTGCAGGCTACGTTCAATAGTGAAATCCTACTACTTCACTGAAGTTGTGCAGTACCAGGTTTGTACTCCGTCCAAAGAAGATTCCACGACAGAATGTCTCGGAAAGGAATACGCTGCAAATTAGAAGAATATGCGATGACCGCAGCTACTGGATCGACTTTCTCCTAAATTGAATAGGAAGTGACCGGTCAAGTGTACTTGAACGCTCATTCGACGAACCATAAAGCGAAAATTGATTTCATCTATTTTTCGAAGTTCCTCATAAATCCAAGCGATTGCGCCACTACGTCTGAGTAGCCCAATGCGGTTGAAAACTAGGCTAATTACTTCCTCAACATGACTGAGACCATCTGAAAAGAAAAAAAAACTGATTGTGAGGGGAATACAAACGCCGCCTTCAACGTGTGGCGCCAACTTCACTTCAAAAAAAGCAGCGATCACCTCTTCACTGCCACACTCTTCCAGGTTTGAAGGACCGTTTTCTCAAAACTTTTCCTTTGTGGAAGTCAATTTTCCGTTATGATCTGCTCTCAATTTCGTCTGCATAGTCGCTCCGCTTGAAAAATCTATTCTTCTGGCTCGCCACTGTTTCGTACCAGGTGTTTCGCACCAAACAATTATAATAACCGAGTTGAGAGAATCAAACTATCCCGCCGGCAGTTTTCACATGGCATCAGGAGATTTTGGGATAAGCGGATATAATGTTCCTGCCCACGAAAACAGGCT